AAGGTTTTCGTTTTACGTTATATGTTTTATTAACATGGGTAGAGATTACTCTGTTTGTTTGTTGGTAAGCTACACAATGAGCTATCTTGTGTGAGCCAACCACTGTTATAGAAACCCAAATTTTTAGCGTTATAAGCCTTCAGACTAACCTCTGAGCCCTTGGGGCAGATCACTCCGTCTTTTAATGTTTGTAAGACTGACTGGATTGTAAAACACATTATAAAATTGAATATCAATCGACTTACACTCCATAATATTTTGCAAACATGCCCAATATTTTGTTATGGCGGTTTCTTCAAGGTCTCAGTTAGTATTCCAAACAAATTCTGTTAGCCTAAAGGAATTAGGATAAGCCACATAGACTAACTGGAAAGGATAAAGACAAAAGGGTTTCCTAATTTCGATCTACTGACTTGAGGGAGGATGGCCTGTAGTTTTATTGGTGTATTGAGCCAAATAACGCGACAGGCTGTCCTTTTTATAATGCGCCCACAGCTAAAAATGCGGAAAGTATTTAGCTTTCATGACTCGATCCCTGGACCCTTCAGCCCGGCATGATAACCAGCAGGCGCCACGCATGGCCCAGTTCAAGATTTCAAGCAAAAACATTGTGTGATCCGTAAAAAAGCTTCACTCAGAGAAACATGGTACATGATATCGCGTGGAATCGCGTGCTTTAAACAAAATAGATAGAGAACATTGTTGGAAGTGGATAGATTTCTCAATGCGTAAAAGTATACAATAACATATAAAATGACTAACCTTCGCACTATGTCACAGTATGACTTTAAGATTACAACGTGTTTTCTCAGAAAACTCAACCTTTAAAACCAGATGTACTTACTCAGGGTCCCCGAAAGTGTTCTGCTTCAAGAGTAAAAAAAATCAAAAGAGTAAGAAATATTTTTATTTCTTGCTTTTGAAGTTCATATATCATGCATATATCCTCCTGTGAACACTTCAACGGGAACGACACACTCTGGTGATCTGTGGGATATATTAAACCATCCTCCTGTGAACACTTCAATGGGAACCACACACTCTGGTGATCTGTGGGATATATTAAACCATCCTCCTGTGAACACTTCAATGGGAACGACACACTCTGGTGATCTGTGGGATATATTAAACCATCCTCCTGTGAACACTTCAACGGGAACGATACACTCTGGTGATCTGTGGGATATATTAACCCATCATTATGTGAACACTTCAGCAGGAACGACACACTCTGGTGATCTATGGCAGAACTGTTATAAAAGTATTGTAGACAGGGCCTAATGGGGCTCAGGGGTTAATATATTTTAGGGACCCGTCAATGGAATTCTATTTAGTTTCAGAATTTTTCAAGGGCCACCAAAACTTTGTGGCCTCGAGACTATACCCCTTCAGCCCTTGCGTTAATCCGGCGCTGCTTGTGGGCAGAACAACCTGAGTAATCACTTTTACAGTTTATCGTTATGAGGTTTGACCCTTTTTATCGTAAATATAAATCACAGTAATTTTTGTTCATAGGTCATTCGCCTGTGATTGTTACATTGTTCTTTGCGCAATCAAATAACACGATTTTCTCGTGTCACTTCGATCCCTATGTAGTATTGTCGAACTGTAAGTAGTTTTGTAATGTATGATCTGTTATACTGTTCGTGTTTTTTGTTTGTTTGTAATTAAGCACAAAGCTACACAATGGGCTATCTGTGCTCTGCCCACCACGGGTATCGGAACCCGGATTCTAGCGTTGTAAGTCTGCAGACATACCGCTGTGCCACTGGGGGGCTCGTGTTTTTTGCTCTGCTTTTGTCAGTCTGGTTTCAAGCATATATGTATGTGTTCCAGAGACTTGTTCTTTATTGTTGTTTTGTTATTTCAAGGCTACGCAATGAGCTATCTCTACTCTAGCCACCACGGGGGAGTGTTCTAGAAGAATCTGTCATAGAGAACCATTGGACATGTTAATAAAATATTTTTGAGTAATTGGGCCTTTAAGCTTTGTTTTTTAATATGAACATATTTTGGTTCAGTGACGTATAATGATTAATTAACATTTGATCATTAGGTTATTTTCCCACAGATAACCGTTGAAAAAGTCAAGAAAAGATAATACTGGCCAAATAACCCCTCTTTCGTTGTTGTTTGTTTGTTCTTATACATAAAGCTACACAAAGGGCTATCTATGCTATGCCCACCACGGGGCAGTATAAGTCCGCAGAAATACCACTGTACAACTGGTGGGCTTGATATTTTGATAGAGTTTATCTAAAAACAAAGATAAACAATTTCATCGAACTAATTTCATGTATTATATAAATTTCTCATCATTCTGCTTATCTTAGTGATTTTTCATGTGTGTCAGTGTATAGTAAAGAAATGCTTTCCCATAGTTGTTTAAAATCTTACTGCATTTTTGTAGTGGTTTTGATGAACTAATATAAATTTATTATTATTTGAACTGTTAGTTGACGACTACTACAGGTATATTGTAACAATAGGGTTACGGATCGAAGAGTCTGAGGTTCGAGGCGTGATGCCACTGAACACGCTCCACATCTTTAGCTGTGATCGCATTACAAAAGTGACAGTCGATCTCATTATTCCATTCAAGATTCGAAAAAGCTCTTGTGACGGCTAGTGCTGCTGGCTAGTTGTCTTTCTACTGTGTGTATTTTTAAATTAGAAACGTTTCTACCTGAATTCTAGGAGGTATCTGACCAGGTCGTTTAGTCCATGTCCGCAGACGAGTCTGTTAAAATTGAACATTTCACTTCCTTCTCCATCTGGCTAGGTCTTAAATACAGAGATTTAAACGATTTTTTTATTTTATTTTGATAAACACTTACATGTTTATACAATAGGTGCAAATGGTTTCGCACGTGTCCTGAATTGCTACCATTGTTAGATGTCATCAACTTTTTCTTAGAAAGGAACTCATTGTGATATCCTCTGTTTTTCAGACCTCTCGCGCAGAAATACACTAGGTCTACTTGTATATAATTGTCCCTAATTTTAAATTGATAGATTAGAAGGAAGGCAGACAGTCAGCAGCATCCACCACCTTCTCTCGGGATATTCTTTTCTGATGAAATAGTCGGATTTAACCGACACTTTTATTGGGCAACCACATCTGAATCCTCAGATTTTCAGTCCGGGCATTTTCACCACTAGGCAACTTTTGGTCACATTCTACTACTGAAATAATACAAACTCCTTCAGTAAGTTATACTTAATAAATATGCTGATTAATCATATTAAGTTCCCTGACAACATTTTTAAAAACAGTTGCTATGGTTTCACAATACTTAGAATTGTAGAGCTGTAGAGTAGTATTTAAAATACAAAGTTGAGTTATGGAAGGTTAACTGTGAAATGAATTATTAAGTCAATGTTAATGATAATCAAACATCAGTTTCATTATACTTCTTTTGTTGTAATAATATTTGAAAGTGCCGGTTCGTTGCTTTTGGTAGTGGTACTTTTACCACTTGATAACTTAAAAAAAATTACTTGAAACTTTATTTGTTGAAGTTGTTCAGGCTGTCAGTTTAAAGTGAAAACAATTATAATCATTACTGAAACGGTATACTACAAAAGAAATCTGTATTGAAATAATCTTCCTTACAAAATTAAAGTTTAATTGTAAACAAATAATCAGCAGTATCTTACAGTTCCAATATATAACACTTAAAAATGATTTTAGCACAAGAAAGTTTCAATGAAATATCCCGTACGGTCTGTTTAATGGATTCAACAGATTGGACAATATATATCGTGTTTCTAAGAAGTTAACATTTATTCTGTATCAACTATATACACCATAAAATATAGCGAAACGTGTTTCAAGTTTGTTATAATACTAGAGTTATATTGTTAGAATACTATTCAACTATGTATATATGTAATAAGAACAAGTATTATTACATAGTTACAAACAGAACCAAACAGATTCATCATTCTTTTAATGATCAAAATACACAAACAATTATTACATTCATTCTAAAATAGCTGTTTATAGTAATTGTTGTTGATCTAAAACGTTTATACTTAATATGACACTTTAGTAGTTGTTGTTGATCTAAAACGTTTATACTTAATATGACACTTTAGTAGTTGTTGTTGATCTAAGAGGGTTTATACTTAATATGACGCTTTAGTAACTGTTGTTGATCTAAGAACGTTTATACTTAATATGACGCTTTAGTAACTGTTGTTGATCTAAGAACGTTTATACTTAATATGACACTTTAGTATTTGTTGTTGGTCTAAGAGGGTTTATACTTAATATGACGCTTTAATAGTTGTTGTTGATCTAAGAACGTTTATACTTAATATGACGCTCTAGTAGTTGTTGTTGACCTAAGAGGGTTTATACTTAATATGACGCTTTAGTAGTTGTTGTTGATCTAAGAGGGTTTATACTTAATATGACGCTTTAGTAGTTCTTGTTGATCTAAGAACGTTTATACTTAATATGACGCTTTAGTAACTGTTGTTGATCTAAGAACGTTTATACTTAATATGACGCTTTATACTAATCGTTGGTGATCGATTAAAAACTTTTGCTTTAAAAATGATTTTCACCTTATTAGATACTGTATAAAATTGATATTATAATGCGCTGCATTTCACATGTGTTTAATGTAAATATGTTTTATGCATGAACTCCGTCTAACGTGTCACACTCTGTTTAGTGTAAACTCTTTTTACATGAACTTTGTTCAACATGTCACATTGTGTTTAATGTAAACCTATTTTACACGAGCTCCATCCAACATGTCACATTGTGTTTAATGTAAATCTTTTTTTTCTTCGTACAACATGTCACAGTGTATTTAATGTAAATCTGTTTTACATGAGCTCCGTCCAACATGACGTAAGAAACGTCCAACAGTCAATTTATCGACTATCTACTCTCTTTTCTTTTTTTATGGCTAGCGTAAAAGAAGTTAACATGTGCCAAAACAAGATTTGGATTGTTGTGCTATTTATATATATAAGTATTACACATGATTGTTCTCTCAGGAGAAAATGTTCTTCACATGGCTATCGTTAATGAAGATCCAGCGATGGTCAAGTTCTTAGTGGACAACGGAGTTAACTATCATGAGCGTTGTATCGGGAACTTTTTCTGCCCGGAAGATCAAAAGGCTTCTAGAATGGATAGCCTGGAACACGAGACAGTGGACGTTGCTGTAAAGACCAACTATGAAGGGTACGTCTATATTCTCATAGTTTCCAACATCACCTCGCATCAGGATTATTTGCCATTGTTTTTAATGTTAGATTAAACCTACTAAAAGTTTGGATAACTTCGAGAAAAAAAATAAAAGTTAAAAATATTAAAATAAAAAGTCATAAGTTTATTCCTTACAAGACTACCCTACCTCCACTAAAAGGTTTAAGCCAATTTTAACAATACGTCACTTCCGTTCATTCACGTTCAAACTACCTTTATTTACAGATTATCTGTACGTTTATCTTATACTTCTGTCTCTGCACTGCAAGTCCACAATAACATGTATTTTAACCCAAAGTTCATTCTTATTACACAGATATGTCTACTGGGGTGAATACCCTCTTAGCTTCGCTGCATGTCTGGAACAAGAGGAATGCTACCGGCTGTTACTAGCGAAAGGAGCAGATCCTAATAGGCAAGATACAAATGGAAATACAGTAACGCACATTATGGTGATATATGAGAAGACTGTAAGTTCACAAAATACTCTGACTTTCTCTGCACTCCACGTTTTTGTTTACGTTTATGATACTGAAACTGACGACTAAGTGTTATGTGTTATAATACCGAAACTGACGACTAAGTGTTATGTATTACAATACTGAAACTGATGACTAAATGTTATATGTTATAATACTGAAACTGACGACTAAGTGTTATGTGTTATAATACTGAAACATACAACTAAGTGTTATGTATTATAATACCGAAACTGACGACTAAGTGTTATGTATTATAATACTGAAACTGACGACTAAGTGTTATGTATTATAATACTGAAACTGACGCCTAAGTGTTATGTATTATAATACTGAAACTGACGACTAAGTGTTATATGCTATAATACTGAAACATACGACTAAGTGTTATGTATTATAATATGAAACTGACGAATAAGTGTTATGTATTATAATACTGAAACTGACGACTAAGTGTTATGTATTATAATCTGAAACTGATGACTAAATGTTATGTGTTATAATGCTGAAACTTACGACTAAGTGTTATATCTATAATACTGAAACTTAGGACTAAGTGCCAAAAAATTCTCCTTCTTTTTCTTTTGTTCTTCCATTTTATTTAAAGTTATAATTGGCGGCCTAGCTTTTTTGGTAATTCAAAACTGACTAAAAAAACACGTTTAACATATATGTTTTATTTTTTAACGCCAAAAAATGGTAGAGTTTGAAGCTGGAACGGAACTGAACTGGAGATTACTCAACTGAGTTAAAAAACATATTTGTTGTCGATTCTTATTAGTTATTTATTCTCCTTTTTTTTTAACCAGTTACAATATTTTCATTAGAATAAATATAAACCATTTTCATAATATCATCAATAAAAATATTTATAACTCATACTTGGAGCTCCCGTACTGCGGTCTAAATGAATATTCAGGGAGGGATGGAAACAAGATAGCACTGGATGTCCAGTTTTATTAACTGATGGTTGTTGTACAAATGACTCTTTTGGATCATAAAAGGAACACATGTAACATATTTTTTTATCCAATCTGTGAGTACCTCCGCATGGACCTAATGAACCGCCATACCAATTATGGTGAAGATCCATCCACACCCTACGAAGTAGTTACCTAGACATACAACAGACAGTAGTATCATATTTATATAGATACTAGCTGGAGTACCCTGAAAAGCTGCTTCCCATATATGTAATTGTAAAAAACTCTAAAACGCTCATCTAAACTCCAAAACACAAAATTTTAAATCGCAACTCTGCATGTATTTCCGCATGGACCCAACAAACCTTGATGCCAAATTTGGTGAATATCCATCAACAGGGAGCGAAGTAGCGTAAAAGATGCAAAAACCTTCAAAAATACCGCAAAATGTAATACTGAATATTTGTATGTATCTCCCCATGGACCTAACGAATCTCCATACCAAATTTGGTGAAGATCCACTTACAGCAAAGTTGTTAAGGTTGTTAACGAATATTTATACGAACTCTTTTATCAATCATCAGGGCTAACAGACAAACATCACAGCGAAATGGTTGAGTCAGCTGACTTTTTTGCTGACTTGACAGTTCGTTTGATTTTATTATTTCCTATAGTTTTCAAATTTATGGTTTAAATTATCTTACAATTTTCTCGATTTGTTGGATTCTTTGAGAATCATAATTTGTATTTCACGAAAAATAATATTTTTTTGTGTATAATTTGTCCTCACCTGCAAATGGTCCTTCATTAGGATTTGGACTTATATATATATATTTTAATGTTATGTTCAAGTCTGCTTCTTGATAAAGCTGAATTAGAGTTAACCATGTGAAAAACTGGTCCTACAGGAAATTTTCCTACATGGTCAAATGTCTAACTCTGCGATTATAAATTGTGATGGCAAAGAACTGAAGGGTCAAGGGCAAGTCCATAAAAATACAACATTTCATAAGAAATGCTTATAAAATGTTTTACTAAATTTTTAAAACAAAAACTCTTACAGAAGGTGAAAAACACCAAGAATAACGTATTGTAGTGCCATCTATTAGTTTGTAAAGATATTTAAGTTGCGTCTTACACAGACAGACACTGTTGTTCAAATATAAGATACAGGTGTTTCTTAAGTAAATAACAAAGTAATCATAGCAATCAGACATTAAATGAACTGGGGTTTGTTAATGCTGATAATTAATTAAAAATAATCACTAGGCGTTAGAGATATTGGGAATTATTAATGTTTATAATAAACTAACAATATTCACTAGATATCAGATATACTAGGTAATATTTATGTCTGTGATGAAGCAACAATATTTACTATTTTCTAGACATAATGGGGTTTGCTATTAACAATATTTACTATTGTCTAGACATAATGGGGTTTGCTATTAACAATATTTACTATTGTCTAGACATAATGGGGTTTGCTATCAACAATATTTACTATTGTCTAAACATAATGGGGTTTGCTATCAACAATATTTACTATTGTCTAGACATAATGGGGTTTGCTATTATCAGTACAAAATTAATAATATTCAACTTTTCATCAGACTGTTTGTTAATGATAAATTACGATAATATAGTTTAAGATTACATTTTCATTTGTTTCTGTTGCTCATTACTGTTCAACTAGACCCAACGATGTTCCGAGAAGTGTGTTGGGACCTCTACGAAAGAGGATCCGTAGGAGAGACTGCACTCCACTTGTGTTTGCTCCTCTCATCCACTATTCACGCTGAGCTAGCCAAGCGCCTCGTCAAACTTTATCCTAAACTGGTGAACGACATATACCTCAGTGATGAATATTACGGTAAGTTTAGAATCGCTGTAATGATGTTGCTATAAAAGTATGTGTAGATTCTTGGTTGTGTCTAACCTAATAAAATGAAATACGAAGGTTCGCTATTACACACACAAAGAGAAAGATAAAAGACGAAGATCTGGAAATTAAGTAGGTCATGGTGTATGCTGGACTTCTGTCGTGTGCATCTAAAACCGTTGTGCAAAATCACTTGACGAGTGGATGTGTACAACCTGCATGCACAAACATGCTAATGAGAGGAAATACAATGTTTATATACAGCCTTCCAACAGCAGATCCAACATTTTGTCCAGGGCGTTTTATAGGTTTGATTTTAATATATCTGAGAGAGCTGAGCCCCGCAGGCGTGGACAAGGGTAGGTACGGGTGGGGTATTCTCATCCAATCTAACTAGAGGTCTAGCCGAACGCTGTAAGTTTTCACACCAATTGTTTGCCAAATTGTAAGCTGCCAACGCATTATAGACATTGAGGATATTTAGAAGACGATAGGCAGCAACGAGTTTCAATGAATTTAGGTCACTGAAATGTTCAGTATTTATGACCTACAGAAAATAATCTATATCATTGAATACAACATACAAATCCCCACCTCTATCCATTATACACACAGAGTGAAATATGCATACTTTTCCCTCCAGTAGTATCACCTCATCATACTCACAATTTCACACACTATGCGTAAAATAGTCTAGTTTTTCACGCTCACATTATTACAGTCAATTAAAATGTGCTTTACTATAATTACGAGTACTGGAGGCCTACCGTTGGAAGTGGCTGAATTAAACTTTCCGATGCACATTACTATAGTTAGAAATACTGGAATCACAACTTAAGGTATGTCGCCAGGAGGCGCTACAATAAATTGACCAGAAGTACAGTCGTTGAGAAGCATACGCAAGAAAATCATGTTGTAACGTTAATATTTCACGTGCCTCGATCAAAAGACAAGTTAGAAAATAATGATTTTTTGGGGTGAAGTGAGTAGATAAAAGATTATTTCCTTCACAGAATGAGCTTCTACAGAAAATAGGGAAAGTTTGTTTGTTTGTAGTTAAGCACATAGCTACACAATTGGTTATCTTTGCTGTGCCCACAAGGAATGTTGAAACCCAAATTCTAGCATCACAAGTCCACTTGGAGGGCAAATAAAAGGAGGAGGAAGTTCCCTCGTATTTCATGAATGTTAATTTTTAGAATTTAGAATCAAAGAAAGTAACTTTCTTACTCTAATGAAAATTAAAATTAGCTTTAAAAAAACCAAGGTAACTAACTAGAACTTACACATATTTCCAGACGAAAATTTCAACAGATAGAAATCAAACGATTATTTTGAACCAACAATAACATATTCATTGTTCCAAAAAAAATCAAAATAAAATTCTTACAGTAAAGAAGGTTTGTGGTAATTTTTGTTCCAAAAAAAGTCAGAGCAAACCCGTTACAGTAAGGTTTGTGGTAAATTATTGTTCCAAAAGAAGTCAGAGCAAAACGGTTACGGTGAGGTTTGTGGTAAATTTTTGTTCCAAAAGAAGTCAGAGCAAAACCGTTACAGTAAGGTTTGTGGTAAATTTTTGTTCCAAAAAAAGTCAGAGCAAACCCGTTACAGTAAGGTTTGTGGTAAATTATTGTTCCAAAAGAAGTCAGAGCAAACCCGTTACAGTAAGGTTTGTGGTAATTTTTGTTCCAAAAGAAGTCAGAGCAAAACCGTTACAGTAAGGTTTGTGGTAAATTATTGTTCCAAAAGAAGTCAGAGCAAAATATTTATATGAACTTTTGTTTCAGTATACCCAAGGTTAACCAGGGCTAATAACCTTAACAACTCCTGGTTAACCTTAGGTATACTGAAACAAAAGTTCATACAAATATCTGTTAACAACCTTAACAACTCCTGGTTAACCTTGGGTATACTGAAATACAAGTTCATATAAATATCTGTTAATAACCTTAACAACTCCTGGTTAATCTTGGGTATACTGAAACAAAAGTTCATATAAATATCTGTTAACAACCTTAACAACTCCTGGTTAACCTTGGGTATACTGAAACAAAAGTTCATATAAATATTTGTTAACAACCTTAACAACTCCTGGTTAACCTTGGGTATACTGAAACAAAAGTTCATATAAATATCTGTTAATAACCTTAACAACTCCTGGTTAACCTTGGGAATACTGAAACAAA